AATGATTGTAAATCAAGGACCACTTATGCTCCCCAGAAAACCTGAAAAGGAGAGAAACCTTGAAAATTGTTATCTGTCATTCTCCCCCCACCTTCACAGTATTATTCATTTACTTACAGCAAATGCAAAGGTACCAGTCTTTGATGGGAGTTTTCTTATTTTAACCTTTGGCACCTCCAGAAGATTTGAGAAAACCCTTCCTAGGAACTGATCAAGCAACATTCAGTTGTGGATCAGGAAATTGTCTTTTATTTGTAGTCCTATATATGCCCAATCCTGAGCCTTCTATGGAAAGAAGACCATTCCATGGTTGTCAGGCACCATTTGGTTTCAATACTGTTCTGAACCACTTAAATAAATCTCAGGATTAACACCTGTTCAGAATATTGGGCATAAAACCTGCTTCCCAACTGAGCTGCAGCCGTCCTGGCTTCCTACAGGCAGAGAAACTGATTGCAATTGAATGAAAGGAGTTGCTCTTTCTGTGTGGCGGGCCACAGGAGAGGCTTCCTCAGCAGATGCCCTGCTCATCAGCCCTGCGAGTAGGTGCAAACATTCCTGTGAACAAGCTTCAAAGAGTTGTGGGGAAAATGGTGAGGACAGGGGGAGAATTAAGAGTCTCTGCAAGCATTTCCTACTCAGCAACCCCTCCGCTTACTCATCTTCCTTAAGTCTTTAAGAATCAAGGACTGAGTCTGTATAATGTTTGATTTGGTTACTGGATTATGGTGATTCTCTGAGTTTGCAGTCCATTAAATCCCAAGCTAACCAAGCACACTCTATTCACACAGAATGCAAAGCTACAAAATCTAACCCCCCACCCCAAAAAAAAAACAGTTTAAAAAGAATAAATTAGAAAATGAACTAAGCTCATCATGTCCTATAACTGTGATGGTGAACCTGTAGCACATGTGCCAGAGGTGGCATGCAGAGCCCTCTCAGTGGGCACACACACCGTTGCCAGCTGGTGTGCTGGTCTTCGTGGGCGCCAGAATGCCGGAAAACACCTGAAAATCGGCCTGACAACGGCTCCCCAAATAGCCAAAAAACAGGCATGTGTGCACCGGCCAGCTGGTCTTCGGTTTTCTGGCATTCCGGTATGCCTATGCACATGCATGCATGCGCATTCTGGTTTGGGCACTCGGTGCCGAAAAGGTTTGCCATCACTGTCCTATTATATGGGCAGCCATTAGACTTTCAAGGGTTCCAATTGCCTAGTATGAACACAGCTGAAATATGTTCCTCCCTTTGTTCTGTGTGTATTTAAAGCTGATGGATGAGATCAACTCTCAGACAAAAAATATTGATGCTTTGAAGAAAGCTATCCTGGATAAGAAGGGGCCAGCCAAGGTGGCCCAAACTCGCCTGGAGACCCGGACTCACCGTCCAAATGTAGAGCTTTGCCGAGACACGGTGCAGTATCGACTCATGAATGAAGTGCAGGAAATCAACCATAATATCCAGAGGCAAGTACAACCCAGAAGCCACGGGGCTTAGTTTAATCTGGGGTTATCTCAGGAAGTTAGTACTTTCTGGGGTGAGGGAGGAGCAGGAAAGAGTGTGAGATCCCTGTTCTGCAAAACCTGTATGTGTGGTGGATCATTTCATTTTGTGATTGATCCTTCGGCCGTTGGCCTGTCATTTGCCTTAATTCTAGACCAAATTCTCCCTCTTCTGGTCAAAGATTTCAGTGGATTTGTGGAGTGACTTCTCTTCAGTAGAAGTGAAGGTGGGATTCCTTCATGGGGAGATCAGAGCAGCTTGTTGCTCTTCTATGGACAAAGAATTTAAATGGAGGGAGTCTTTATTCTAAGGTATTATCAATATGACCTACAGCAGAATTAAACTCTAGCAAAGTGCATAGCATTCTGAATCATAGGGAATGATTTTTCTCCTTAAGCTTCTCGTTCTGGCTCTAAATGGAAACTCAAGCAATGCTACTAGGAATCCCAGCAATCCAAATAAGACTGAGATTGAACAGGTGCTTCTAGCAGCTGAGTTGGGAGGCATTTGCCTGCCGTTCTGGCAAGCAGGAATACATGATACACAAGAGCAGATGGATTACCATAAAGTTCTGTTCGTATAACAAACTTATTGATGTTGGGTAAAGACTTGTTAAAGTAGATATTTGCGGCTTGGCTTGTTGTCCAAACTTAGCCTATGGATTGGTTTATCATTCAGTTTATTGATGGATGAGAAACTGGATCCATTTAGTAATCAGGTTAAGCATGTTGTGTAAATACATCAAGTGTCTTGATTTTATGGTGCTAGATTAAAATGTGGTTGGCTAGTTTGTAGCTTGTGACTACATTCATGCAATATGCTTAATTTGGTTACTCAACCATTTTCTGGGCTTGCACATATTTTGAACAATAACTTTGTTAAGTAAGCTGGCTATGCAACCCCCATTAAATGACAAATTAACTAGGGCTTGTACACACATTTGCAATTGCTAGGTATCTAACCTCACTAATCACAGCAATCAAGACATTTGGCTTAGTTCTGTAAACAGTGTTCCAGTAAACCATGCATTAATGTATTAATAGTTTGCAGTAAAAAAAAAAGTGTTACTATGCCTGCAAAGCTCTCAAAGGTATGGGATTTGCAATAGTTTCTTCCTGGTAGAGTTAATTAATTAGGGTGATGATGGGAGTAGCTGGTCCTGAAGGTGCCTGGGCATCAAGACATAAAAGATGCAGGCTGCTACATTTTGGACCAAATATAGTTTCTAAATATTCTCTAAGAGGGCAGCCCTCAGTAGAATGCATTACAGTAACCCAAATGGGTGGTGATGTTATTTCCTTGTCCATGATTTCTATTTGCTGAATAGAAAGCCAAGTCTAGAAACACTCCTAAGTTGTGAACCTGTTCCCTGAGAGATTCTGACTGTCTATCAGAGGAATTTGGTGAAAACGGGGCACCTCATGTATTGACAACAAATTGCCAGGATTCAATTTCAGACTGTTCTTTTCCGTTCACCTAGATAGCTTCCAGACAGCTGGAAAGAGTATTTCTCCCACACCCTACCTCAGAGTGGCAATGTACAATTGGGCACATTCCCTAAAGGTTGGTTTTCTCTAAACATCAATGGCTCCACAAATCCCCTCATCAGGAACTTCTTTTTTGTTCTTTCAAGGTTGCCAGAAGTTCCGTCTTCTGCAATGAGGTGTCAGCAATTGTTTAGGTCCGCATGGTCACCCCCTGCCTGTTTTCCCTACAAGTTGGGAGGACAGGGATCCAAGGTAGCAAAAGACAACTGAGGCAGCAACCATCTATTTCCTTGGATGCTGCAGACCAAAACAATCCCAGATAACAGAGCAAGGCAAATACCAAAGACTCTATCCCTTCAGAGTCAAGGTTACAGGAAATCCACCGAGTTCGTTCCCTGCAGGAGGTAATTTAGTGTCAATGACACAGAAACGCTTGGAAACTAAACCTACTTTCTTTTCTGAGGATTAGAGTTGGACACCCATCTCTTATGGCATACTAAAGTGGAAGCAGGGCCAGACCAGAGCATACAATCAGAAGATTGTCATGACTTGTTTGGGTGAAGCCCTGGAGAGGCTTGCCAAACTCTAGAAAAGTCGTGGCCTTCACCTTTTTCTTCTGTTCCTCCTTTAGGCTGATGGATACATTGGCTCAGGCTGAAATAGAACTGAAAGGCCTAAACCGCCAGCAGCTCTCCCTGGAGGAAGAGATTGAAGTCAAAGCAAATACCCTTTATATTGATGAAGTGCTCTGCATGCAGATGAGAGAATCCATTTCCATCAATAATTTCTGATCCGTGAGGCAGGCAGAATCTCTGCTTGGCTGGACCCTACGAATAAATCTTGAGACATTGGCTTAAACTTTCAAAAATCTTTTTACAGAAGCCAAACATCTTCCCTGAACTTTCTAACAGATGAAATAAATTAGTGAAACCTCAGATCCCAACTTCATCCTAAGCTCTTGGAGGGTCCCTGTGACAGAGGACCAGGGTGAAAGTGATGGCTGGAAAGAAAACAAGCAGGACTTGAACTAATGTCTTTAGTGCGGACATAGTTTAAAAGGGGGAGTGCTGACATGTTGCTTTCCCAGGATTTGTCAATGTTCTGTCCTCTTCAGGCAGAAGACAGATTTAAAAAGTTAACTTTTAAAATAGGCTAAGGTGGGTATGAGATGAAGGCTAGAGTCACCCACCCTAAGATCCTGACCCCGATTACCAATTGACAGCCCTATCCAGGTCACACAATCATTCATCCACTGAGACACAAGATCAAAAAGGATACCACAGGAGATGGGAGCGATCATAAATGTTGGTGGCTTCAACCAAATGATCACAGCTGCCATCTTGACTCGTCTCTCTCTCCCCCTCCTCCTCAAAGCCCTATAATTCTGCATAATTCTGTGCAATGTTGTGTGACTCCTAATACTTGGGCTAATTTTTAAAATGTAAATATTGTGTAGGCAATGACTCCCATAGCTTATACAAGTAGTCCTCAACTTATGACCACCATTGGAACCAGAATTTTTGTTAACAAGGCAAGGCAGTCATTCAGTGAGACAGACCTGATATTATGATCCTTTTTTCTAATGGTTTTTAAGTGAATCATGCAATCGTTAAGCAAATTCGGCTTACCCCGTTGGCTTTGTTTATTGGAAGCCAGCTGGGAAAGTCACCAGTGGAGACCACATGATCCTGGCACTGTTGTAAATACATGCCAGTTGCCAAGTGCCCGAATTTTGATCACGTGACTGTGGGGGATGCTGCAACAGTCCTAAGTGTGAGGACTGTAAGTCACTTTTTTTTAAAGTTCTGGGTTCCACCAAACCTATATTTTCTTTCTGGGCCAACCAAGTTCTCTTCAAAGACCAACCAACTTTTCTTTCTTCTTTGAGAAATGCAAGATTTGCCCCTGATCTGCAGCGCTTCTGATTCAGCATTTTTTTTGCATGTGCCATTCAGCTGCACCAAACCTCACCTGTCCTTTTTTGCATTCCAAAGACTCTTTGTTGTAAACCCGCAAATGGTGCTTATGCTCAGTCTTGGTTGTGAACTGTAGCTCTTTTATTCTTAAAAAGGCAGATCAGGGTATGGCAAGGCGTTTTACTGAACCCGATCCTGCTGGAACGAAAAGGGCCAGTTCAGCCGCTGAGAAAGGTCATTGCCCGTTATTTCCTTCTGGTGGGGTTTGCGTGGATTCTCCTGCAATACAAAATGGGGAAAGAGAATAAATATACTTTGGAACATGGCAGAGGGCAGCAGGGAACAACAGCTTTGGGGTAGGGAGGGGGAAAATCTCAGGGGAAAGGGAACCATTTCCTCCTTAGCTCTTAGAACAAACTCTCCCATGCCCGGATTCATATTCCAAATACATGCACATTAAAGGTCTTAACCTCTGTGGTTTATATGTTTATTTAAGACCAGTGCTTGAGGTTGGTGCTGGGACCACTGCAGCCTGCCCCATTTGTCCACTTAACAGAATAACAGAGTTGGAAGAAACCTTCTAGTCCAAACCACTGATCAAGTAGGAGACCTTGTATCAGGGGTCTGCAACCTGCGGCTCCGGAGCCACATACGGCACTTTTGGCCCTCTGCTGCAGCTTCCTGTCAGCTGATCCCACCACTGGCTGGCTTTGCCCCTTCCCTCCCCATCACTCCTCGCATGGCCTGAGAAGGTAAGGGTGATGGCGGGGGGATGGAGACTCGTTCCATATTCCAGAGCAGCTGACTGGGTGGGAGTGAGTGACTTCCAGTTGGCCACGTCCACCCAGTCACACCGGTTGTTAAATTATTGGCTCCCAGTGTTTTCTTTTCTGTGAGAAATGGGTCCAAATGGCTCTTTGAATGTTTAAGGTTGTAGACTCCTGCCCTATATCATTCCAGACAAGTGGCTGTCCAGATTCTTCTTAAAGCCCTCCAGTGATGGAGCACCCACAATTTCTGGTTAATTGTCCTCGCTGTTTGGAAATTTATCCTCAATTCTAGGTTGCATCTCTCCTCGATTAGTTTTCTTAGCCCAGGATACCCTCCTATCATCTGGTACAACTGGAGCCTCCAGTGGAAGTATTTTGATGAGGAGCTTGGTTAAGTATAAATTCCATTCTGTCGCCACCACGGGGCCATTTTCAAACAGAGGGTGACCATAGGTGGCCCATATGCCTCCCAAAACTGCGGAATGAAACAGATGCTCCATCTCCCAGTCTTCAAGCAGCTGCTTTATTTGGAAGGAGACAAAGCTGGTTCCATAGGAGAACAAGGAGGTCTGGAGAGGCACAGAAGGAAAGCACCTGTTGAGAGGCTGGGGATGGAAGTCAATACGGCCACCCCATATACTTTTTAAATTCCTCGTTCCTAGAGAAACGAACGAGTTGCTTTCTTGGTTTTTCCTGAGTGATACCAGGACTGTTCTTTTAACTTTGGTTGATAAGAGTTTGCTTTTAAAAACAACAACAGCAGGCAACTCTTAAAACCTTGATTGCTAGCATTTTTCTTTTCTAATTAGGATTGGACTGAACAGGGCCAGACCGGATTAGTTCTTAGATGGGAAACTGCCAAGAAATACTAATGTTGTACAGGTAGTACTTGACTTACGACCATAATTGAGTCTGCCAATTATGATAGTTAAGTCAGGTCACTCATAACTTGGGTCACCCATGTGACACAAGTCAATTGTACTACTTTCCTTATTAAGGGAATGTGGCGATTGGTGGCAAATGATCATTAAGCAAAGCCATTGTTTACTATGGTGCATTTTTGCCGGAAACTGGAAGTAAATGCAAAAATGTTGTAAATTGCAATCTGCAAATAGCCATAGACATGGGCTGGTTGCTGAGCACCTGAAATGTCATGTGATCATGGAGTGGGGAGGCCATTGGAATTTCGGAATCGTGTTCTAAATATCTTTTGGGGCAGGGTCCTCATAACTTTGACTGGTCATTAAGCAACAGGTAAAGACTATCTGTATGCCGGACTGTGAAATGTTAAAAAAATAATAATTCTGGCAACCATTTGGAGGCGGCTGTGAGGAAAACAACTCTATTCATGAATAGCAATAGCACTTAATCTTATACACTGCTTCATAGTGGTTTTCAGAACTCTCTCTGAGTGATTTACAAATATCACCATATTGCCCCCCACAATCTACGTCCTCATTTTTACTGACCTCAGAAAGATGACAGGCTGAGTCAACCTTGAGCCAGTCAGGATCGAACCCCTGGAAGTCAGCAGAATTAGCCTGCAATACTATATTCTAATCACTGAGCCACCAGGGAAGTTACCAAAAATTTCTCTTTAAAATAGTTACTAGAAGCAATTGGGAAGTGAAAGTCAAAGGGGAAACCACTCCCTACAATATCCATTTAATTCCGTTGTCCTTCCACTGTTGGCAGAACAGAGAAGCAGCCGCTGCTGTCTCATTCTGAATCTCTAGCAGCACAGAAAGATGGCAAGTACTTGAGTGGAATAGAGCAGCCTTTTTGAACAGGCGGAGATACTTTCAACATTTGTATGATGTTTCCCATTTAAGAAAAAGCATGAAGTGGTTTAAATAATGACGAGGGAGGGAAGGAGCGAACCAGAAATCATAACAGTACCTTCTTTTTCCAAAAATCGTGGGCTCCGTCGAATTGCTTGTAGAGAAACTGCCCGCTGACACTTTTTCTGAAATAGGAATGAAATCGGGATTTCACACGTGACCTGAGGACATTTCCGCTATTGTAGCCTCTCTCTCTCTCTTTCTCTCTCCTTTTTTTGAAATGTCCTTTTTAAAGGCGTGATAGAGAAATTCAATTTCTCTAAAAGCTCACTAAACTTGAATCAACTTTTTTCGGTCAATGTTTCCCTTCTCCCACCATTTTCTAAATGTTATTAGCCTGTTATGGCTAGGATTTCAGCTGTTTAGCAGCAAATGCCAGGGAGCTTCCCCAAGAGAAGGAGATCCCACTGTGAATTCTCCCCTGCAGCAGCAGCTCTGGATGATACCCCCCCCTCCAAATGGCTCCCTTATTGCCACATTCCCACAGGCTTCACCTTCCTCACCTCATGCTTCTGTAGGACTGGGCTCGGAAGAAGGATGTTGCACTGGGAACATGTGACCAGCTGGTCATACGTGTCATTGAGGGCCTGTGGTCCAGCGGAGGTCAGGATGGAGGTGAAGGCCTCGCAGCCAGATGCCTTTTTGCTTCTTGGAGACCTCAGAGATATTTTTTCGATAGAAGGCAATTCTCTGTCCCTCCTCTTGGGGCGCACATCCTTCTCGGCCTTCATCTTCCAAGTAGGGGAAGGAGGAGCTGCAGTTGGAGGGTTCTGTGGAGATGGAGGAGACCTTGATCTTGCAGCAGAATGGGTGGCGAGAGATCCCAGGAGCTCGGGAGATGAACTGCATTCGTTCTGTGGGTGAAATAAAGGAGAGGTTTCAAAGAAGGCTTGGTTAATGTAGGTTGAGCAGCTGTCATAAAAGTGGGCAGGATAACCCAGAAATTAATTGCCCCAACATTCAGAGACTAAGATATTTCTGGTAAAACGTCTTCCTCCTTTTCACCTAGTTGAGTGAGAATTTCCCTTTCTTCATGTCCAGCCCCACATTTCCAGAATTGGCCCTGACAACAGGCCCACAACAAAGGCCAAAGGTCAGTGGTCTGCATCCAGGCAGTCCCGGGTTTGAACTTCAATATTCCAATTGGAGGGATAAAAGGTGAAGGGAATATTTTCCCCCCTCTGCCCCAAACGTATTTCTTTAGTTTTTAAAGATCTTTTATTAGTTAGCTTGATTAAAGGTTTGCATTTAAGTTTATTTCAATTGTTGTCTCTTTTGTTTTTCTGATTTTAATTTTTAATAATTTGAAATCTCCCTACAAGCCTTTAGTAATTGAGTCAATTGGAAACATCATCAATCAATTAAAATCAGAAAGAAGGACAAACTAGCCCTACATAGACCTAAGCGCTTTTGAAAACACATGTAACTTTGTTTGTTTGTATGTTTTCACTTCTTAACCACCCGTTTCCCTCAGAGATCTTAGTTCTTAGATTCATAGTTCTTGAATTCATTTATTGGGCACATATTATGAACCATAAATTACATATACTGAAGATGCTAGGCTATAAAGATGTTGAACAAGGTGAAAGCCAATAGTGTTTTTCATATCCTGCAAATGCAGCTGCTTCCATTTTAACTGCTACAGTTAACATGAAAATATTAGCTAGTATTTTCATAAAATTGCCTGTTCATCTTTGGCAGTAAAATTATCACCGCTGGGTTGGATACAAAGAGATCAGTTGTTCAGAAGTGTGACTGGCAGCTCATGAGATAGATTATCATCTCCAACAAGTTCCACTCTTAACCATGACTCAAAAGAACACACCAAGGCTTGGAGTAACCATGCTGGTCTCTTGTGAGTCCACTGGTCACTATCAAAATCTCCAGATTTTTTTTTTTATCACTGGCCACTTCCACTGCTACAAGAAGGCCAATTTTTGATGGCCAAAATTCTTACCAGATGGTGTAGATATTGATCTGCTGGAAACCAATTGTTACACTGCTGGCATAAATTTGTTTTGAAACCTAAAGGTGAGAAGTTAGAAGACAATAATCAGTCCTAACATTCTGATCAAAGAGCTGCAAAAAGATTTCAGAGTGGTCTGTGCCCCTTCCAACAGCCTTTGACTGGCCAAAATCACCTAGACACAGATTTAGCAAGGGAAGAGAATGAATGTATTAATTAATTAGTTAATTCATCCATCCATCCATTTTGTCCCTGTCTTTAGTTTCCTAGGATAAATTGGAAAATACTGAGGCTTAGAATTGGGTTGCACAAACCCAGTTTTAGCAAAATCAACAGTATGTTCACAAAACAAATCCTCGATCAACTATTATTTTCACTAATAATAATAATAATAAAAAACCTTACCAATTCATACTGTTGCATTCATGCAACACTTGAGCAACTAAAACAATCATATCAATGTGTTAACATCACACAAAAAGCTAAGGCAATGATTAATAGGGCACTTGCACTATAGCCCAAGGGTCTCCAAGCTTGGCAGCTTTAAGACTTGTGGACTTCAACTCCCAGAATTCCTGAGCTAACATGACTGGAGGAGGAATTCTGGGAGTTGAAGTCCACAAATCTTAAAGCTGTCAAGTTTGAAGACCCCTGCCGGTCAAATCAGTTAACACAACTTGATTCCCAGAATTTAAAAAAATAAATCTAGGTAAAGGAGGGCAACATTTAAACATGGTGCTAAGAGGTCAGGCTAAGACTGTAATTGGCAATTACTAGCAGAAAACAAGCTGCCCGGACTGTCTTTCACTGCTAAGCAAGGGACAATATGTCTTTTCGTGGAGTCTGAGCATGCAAAGTGATGCCAGTGTACAACACAGGAATTGAAAGGAAGGGGTTGTGCAATGATGTCACTGATGGGTAGGAATTGCTAGACTTTGCCCCGCTTTGCTACAGACAACCCTGGGATATTCTGAGCTACAAATTACTCTACTTCATTTCAGCCTTCCCTAAATACTTACAATTTCCTTAATCCTCATTCTAGCTTCCAGTGAGGAATGTGGCATTCCTGGGGATCTTCGTTTTTATTCTGCCCCCTTCCAATTTCTAAATGTCTAGGCCAGAGGTCTCCAAACTTGGCAACTTTAAGACTTGTGGACTTCATAGCTGGCTGAGGAATTCTGGGAGTTGAAGTCCACAAGTCTTAAAGTTGCCAAGTTTGAGGACCCTGGTCTAGGCTAAGAACAGAGAACAAGCTTATTTATTTGAGTTTTTACCAGCATTTATTTATTAGTGGAGACAGTTCTTCCTGTGAACTATCAGAGCAAGCCAGGATCTTTGGTAAATTGAAAACATGGGTTCCTATTGGTGGCTTGAATTCAGCAGGAACCCATGTTAGAGGATGTGCTTTCAAACATAAGGAGAGTGCTGAATGAGTTCTGAGCAACAATGTCATGTGCCCCTTTTTAAAAAAAAGACTATGTTCATTATGTGACGCTTTGGATGCAGATTATAGGCTTAGCGCAGCTGTCAACAAATGCTAACAGATGTTCATTATATCTGAGGTAAAAGTTAGATTCGGAAATACAGAAGGATAGGAATGCCTGACTTCTATCTAATCCAGGGGTCTCTAATCTTAGCAACTTTAAGACTTGTGGACTTTAACTCCCAGAATTCTAGGAGTTAAGTTGACAAGTCTTAAAGTTGCCAAGGTTGGAGACCCCTGATCTAAACCACATTTTGAAGAGAGGAAATCACAAGAGAGAAAGAGAGATGGGGAAGGGAAGGTCATTTTGATCTTTCATTTCACTAATCACAGGCTAGGAGAAAAACAGACACAGCTCCTAGATGCAAAAAGATGAGGCAATCTCCATCAATTCCAGGTTGCATTTCAAAAGGGCACTGATAGGGAAGGAGAATGGACAAAGCTAGCAACAATACCTACAGGTGTGAAACTCACCAGGGGCCCTCGGCCTGTTGCCTGTTTGGCAGGTGAGCTTGTGCCCCTCTTGGGCTTTGTGCATGATGTATTTGCCACAATCCCAACACATCGTGGTGCGGCTGCCACACGCATCCAGGTGAGATTGCAGCTTACGGAATGGCAGCTCCAGCTCGCAAAAGTGGCATTTAACTGAGCGCTCTTGGCATTCTTCGGCCTGCAGGGGTGGGAAGAACAAAGGACCCAAAGTTCAGTTTTTGCAGTTGTGTTTAAGGCCTCAGAGCTTGCAGAAGGAACCTTGGGCAGTCAGAATTAGCTATGGAACACAGGAGGTGTGGATGGCAACTTGCCTTGTATGATGTCTTGTACACTGCATAAACCTGAGTCTACAAAAAGTCATGTATTTTTATCCCACCTCTATTAATTTTATAATAACTCAGGGCAATGAACATGCATAATATTCCTTTCTCCTCCTATTTTCCCCACAGCAACCACCCTGTGAGGTAGATTGGACTGAGAGTGACCGGCTGAAAATCACCTAGCTGGCTTTCATGCCTAAGGTGGGACAAAAATTCATGGTCCCCCCTTTCTATCCTGGTCCCTCAAACACTACACCAAACTGGCCTATTTTCTGTGTTCACCCAATACATGAAACATATACTGACCAAAGAGACAGAATTCCCACAAAATGCCAGCCCACAAAAACTCTCTAGTCTGCTATATTCTCAGTTGCTTTCTGTGATTAACACTAAACTGTACTAGGCATGTGCAAATGCTGTCACACTAAGTAACAATCCTGGTATACTGATCTGTGATGTACAAAATGAGCACCCAATAGAGGCAACAGAAACATTCTCTCACCAATTATTATTTTTAATTAAATTTATGGACCTCCCATCTCTTGGCATTTACAATGTTAACATCAGTTAAAGCTTCCAAGGCACAAGACAATACCACAGTTACTATTAATTATATCTCACTTCACCCCAAAACCTTCTGGACTGACTTCCAGGAGGCTACTCCAGATAGGGCCACTCTTGTTCCAGAGTGAAACTGTTTCAAAGAAGAGTGCTACCACTCAGGAGGAGCATTCCTGGTCTCAGTCCTTCCCACCTCCCCCAAATAGGCTACTACCCATGTTTCTCTAAAACAACACTGGGTCTTGTGTTAATTTTTGCTCCAAAGGTGCATTAGGACTTATTTTCGTTAGGTCTTATTTTGGGGAAAATACAGTACTAAATGCATCCTTCTGGCTGACAATCTTAATTAAGGGCTTATTTTGGGGATAGGGCTTATATTGCGAGCATCCTGAACAATCATTAGGGCTTATTTTCCAGTTACGCCTTACCTCATGGTGCTCCAGCAGATACTGTTGCATCATCTCGTGACAGAGCGTGCATCTGACCTGGAAGAGGGAAAGGGAGGATGGAAAACAGCCAATCAGTTGCTTTACCCAAAGACACAACCACCCACTGGAAGCCAGGAAGGCAAGACACAGCACTGATCTGCTCCAAAGATGTTGAGGTTTTGCCAAAGACCATGTCTTGCTTTGTAAAAATTTTATTGGTTGCCTGCAATGTTACAGCTCATGGATGGATATACATGCATGTTTTGAAGATGATCATGGAAAGGCAAGGTATATGAAGGTTAATTTTAGACAAATTAGGTTTATAAATGAAAGGTGAAGATGGGATTTAGGAAGAATAAGGCTAGGTGAGGGTGTTCCAGTCAATTATCTGTTGATTTTCAGGGCCATTCTCAATGCTAATAAACCATTGCAAATATGCATCTATAGAAAATCATGTCCATTTCAACATTGTCTTCCCTCTGCAAGCTTTCAGAAGACTATCTTCTGCTGCGGTGGTACAGTGGTTAGAATGCAGTACTGCAGGCTACTTCTGCTGATCACTGGCTGCCAGCAGTTTGGCAGTTCGGGTCTTACCGAATAAAGGTCGACTCAGCCTTCCATCCTTCCGAGGTCAGTAAAATGAGGACCCAGATTTTGTTGGGGGCAATAGGCTGATTCTGTAAACCGCTTAGAGGGGGCTGTAAAAAGCGCTGTGAAGCAGTGTATAAGTCTAAGTGCTATTGCTATCCATCGTATTCTTTTCTGCAGATCTGGTGCTCGCAAACAGGAGTATGAATCTCTTTCCCACCTCAAATTCTGCAAAACCTGCACCTGTGATAGTCCATTACTCCACCCCACCCACAAAAGAAATTATTCCAAGAGTTAACTAGTGTCAATGTTTGTTCAGTGGGAAGTCAAAGGAGAAAACTGTTAAAAACTGTTATAGGGAGACCTGTGAGGCGGGGAGGGGGGGGGAATGGAGGCTAGAATGTAAATCTATCAAGCCAGCCCTGCTGTTACAGGACCCAAAGCTCAAAAGTTGCATAGAAAGAACTCTTCCTTTCATTGGGGAAAATGGTGGCCCAGCATCCCCCAAAACAATGCAAAACTCCAAGCTGTTTTACATATGGGAACTTGACTTATAGCCATTTGTTACGACAGCACTGGAAAAAATGACTTATAACTGGTCCTCACGCTTACAACTGTCTCAGCTTCTCCACTGGTAAAAATTCAGGCGGCTTGGCAACCCGCATGTAAGATAAACACAAACTCTCATCCTACCACGTTCCTGTGGCACCTTAAGATACAGCAGCCCCCCGGATTGCCTCCTATCAAAGGTAAGCAAAGCAAAAGACCCTCCTTACCTGTTGGTGGGCCTTGGCAAGATGTTCTTTCATGTCCTTTGAAGCAACCGGTTCCTCACATTCGGGGCAAACAGCAAGAAACCGCATGCAATGAGCCTCGTGGAGGGAGAAGTTTACCGCAGCCACATCCCTCTTGCTAGGAACAGAAGGAAAAAACTGGCCATTGGCAAGGACATCAATATGTCTGAAACTTCACTTTTGGTAACAAGACTGATATAAATAGACTGATTCTTCTTTTTACTCCTTGCAACCCAATGGAATGTTGGGAATAAATTACATACATTTGCTAATGCTTGAACAACTGAAGAGAATGGGGGGGTATTTGGTATTATGGATCACCAGCAAAAAAATTTTAAAAAAGGGAATTTGAAAATGGACCAGAGCCAGCTGAAGCTGTAGAGATAAATACAGGATGTCCTTGATTGACAACAGTTCATTTGCTGAGCATTCAAAGTCACAAGGGCACTGAAAAAGGACCATGTGATCAAAATTTGGATGCTTAGCCACTGGTTCATATTTATGACGGTTGCAGTGCTCCAGGGTCATGTGACTGACTTTTGCGACCTGATTCGCTAAATAACCACGTTACTAACTTAACCACTGCAATGATTCACTTACCAATTACGTCAAGAAACTTTGTAAAATAGCTTTTAAGGACAATAAAGCCAGGCGATTTATAATCCCAGGATTGATTAAATCCTATTAATAATTGGTCTTATTGGAATTGAGATATTGGAATAATGGTGGAATATTGAATAATATTTAAAATATTAAAATATTAGTGATTCAGCAGTGGACAACAAAGACAGTGTATAGTGGCTGGGCTTCCCTCCCACACCACTCCTGCTTCAATTTCCAAAAGCTTTCTCCTCTCTTCAGCCTGTCCACCAAGCAGATTCCGGAACAGACAGAAATGATCTTTGCAAAAACAAAGCACACTTGCCTCTCTAGCTACAGCTCTGAAGATAGACCCCTATGTGAGAAGTTGAGATTAGCATTGAGGCTTTCCTACCAGTTCTTGCAGATGCGTCTCTCCTCCTCCATTTCTCCGCTCGGACTCCCTCCATCTTTCACTTTCATTTCTGCAATCTGGATCGGCGAAAACGAAACTGAAAACATCTGCCTGCCTGTAGCACATCCCTTTTCCTGCTGCAAAAGAAACTGGTTCTTTTTCTTTCAAAGTTCTTTTTCCTTCAAAGGCCGACCACCTGGGAGCTCCCTCTCCTCTCACGGGAACCCTCCCCTCCGCCGCAGATCTCCAAAAAATCCCGCAGCTAAGCGCAAACAACAAAGTAATGAAATTTTTCTTTGTAAAAATATTTGAAAAATATTCTTTCAAACTTGGGATGCCACTAGAGGGCAGCAGAGCTCCTCTTTTTCACCTTCCTAGCCCCATCACCAAGGCCCAGAGACCAACTCTAGATCTGCTCTCAGGTTACGGCAGGGAAAGTACCTCACGCAGCGGGTGATGGGACAGGCTGGATGAAACATTCCTCTCGTGGGGCCTAGCCAGCCGCCCTCTTTTTGGAAGAGGACAAACATTTTACCGAACTAGGTTGCTGCTTTTGGAAGCAGAAAACCCTACTCCATAAGAGCAGTAGTTTGCTTCTATGTGTGTAATGGGAAGGTGAGGGGGAAATGCCACCTATCCTTTTTCCAAGGCAGATAAGTCTGTATGTACAACTTCTCAGTCATCCAGGTCATGGTTGTCCCAAAGGTGCGTTTTCTGGAGGCAACTGGACTTTTTTTTTCCTTTTGAAGACATTTCGCTTCTCATCCAAGAAGCTTCTTCAGTTCTTCCATTCCCCACTATCCTGTCAGAGCTGAAGAAGCTTCTTGGATGAGAAGTGAAACATCTTACAAAAAGAAAACAGAAAGAAAAACTAAGAAAGTCCAGTTGCTTCCAGGAAAAGCACCTTTGGGTCTAGGTGGCTAGGTGTAAGATTAGCCTTATTCAGCACTTTGGCTTGCAAGACTGGTGTGCCTTTTCATTTAAAATGGCAAGATCCCTAATGGTTAATCATCTAGACTGGTGTTTCTCAACTTTGAAGATGTGTGGACTTCAACTCCTAGAATTCCCTAGTCAGCATAAAGTCTACACATCTTAAAATTTCTGAGCTGAGCAATACTATTCTCCTATATAAGATTTTCCTAATTTGCAGTTTCTATTGATACAACAGTGCCTGGCAACTCCCTATATTTTGCTTTGATTATGTAATGCTAGGTAAATTTTCCTCCTCAAAGATGGAAGTAGTCTTACATCGATGAAGCAAGTTGTTTTCCTTCTTAAATCTCCATACACCATTGAATGGTGGATGTTTATCTGTCAGCCTTGATCATTCCTTGGTAGATTCCCGGAGGTAGGTGGGTTCTAATTCTTAACAGGAAGGAAAACACCCAGTGGCTATTCATGATTAGTCAGTCAGCCTCTTCAAAATATTCTCATCCTTCCTGCTCCCCACAGTGAGCAGAATATGTTTTGCTAACAAGAGGAAGGGTAGGCTATCACTCTCCGGGAAAAAGCCAAGTGATATTAAGAATCTGCAGGTAGCCCTTGACTTAGCAATAGCACCAGCACTTAGACTTATATACCACTTCACAGTGCTTTACAGCCCTCTCTAAGCGGTTTTACAGAGTAAGCGGTTTTACAGAGTCAGCATCTTGCCCCCAACAATCTGGGTCCTCATTTTACCGACCTCGGTAGGATGGAAGGCTGAGTCAATCTTGAGCCTGGTGGGATTTGAACTGCCAAATTGCAGGCAGCCAGCAGTCAGCAGAAGAAGCCTGCAGTACTGCATTCTAACCACTGCGCCACTGCAGCTCCTTGGGATGACAATTGGGCTCAGAATTTCTGTTGCTGAGCAAGGCAGTTGTTGAGTGACTCACAAATGATTTTACAATCTTTTGGGGGGCTTTGTTGTTAAGCAAATCACTATAGTTGTTAAGTGAATCATGTGACTGTTAAGAGAGTCCCGCTGCCTCCACTTGACATTGTTGGAAGCTAACTGAGAAGCTTTCAAGCGGCGATCCTATTTATGATGATTGCATTGTCATGACATCGTGCCCTTTTGCGACCTTCTGACAAGCAAAGTCAACGGGGAAGACAGATTCACTTAACAACCATCACTAACTGAAGAACTGCAGGGATTCACTTAACAAATGTGGTGAGAAAAGTCGCTTAATACCTTTCTCTTAGCAACATAAATTTTCTGCTCAATTGTGACCGTAAGTTGAGGAGCTTGCCAAGTATCTGAATTTTGCACATATGGCCATGGGGATGCTGCAGTGGTCATACATGCAAGGACTGGTTGATCCCCTGGCCATGGGGATGCTGCAATGCTTAGAATGACCAGTCACATTTTCAGGGCTGTTTTAACTTTGAAAGATGGCTAAACAAATGCTTGAAAGTCAAGGACTACCTTTATACCAAAGAAAGGTGGTAATAGAAGAGGCCTCTCCCGCAGAGGTGGTATTCAGCGGCTTCTGACAAGTTCTGGAGAACCAGTAGCGGAAATTTTGAGTAGTTTGGAGAACCGGCAAATACCACCTCTGACTGGCCCCGCCCCCATCTATTCTCTGCCTCCCGAGTCCCAGCTGATTGGCTGGGTCTTCTTTGGTTGCCCTGCTCTGGAGAACAGAGCTGGAAAGCAGGTTAGTGGGGTGGGGAGGGCATGGAGATTTTACAGTATCCTTCCCCTGTCACACCCACAAGCCACGCCCACCAAGCCAAGCCAAGCCCACCAAGCCACGCCCACAGAGCCTGTAGTCAAAAAAATTGAACCCCACCACTGATCTTCCGGCTGCCAGGGCTGACTTCCCGAGATACAACACACATACCCCCAACGTACAAAGCAATACCATTCTTATATTTCATAACAGACAGGTTTGAAGCTTGTGCAGATCTTCTGATAAATCTGTTGGCTTTTAAAATGCCAGAAAGCTGTCTGGATTTATTTATTTTTTTGCTGCGGCTGATCACTTATTGCCCTCCCCTTTGAAATGTTAATCCATAACCATTGTTTCTAAAAGGAGCCGTGGCTTCCCAAAAATGGACAATTAAACAACTATCTGACAGTGAAAAAGACCTTAGGGCCAGGATGAGATCCTCAGCAGATTTCCTCTACTCTGAAGAATGGTCCAACCAGAAGAATTATGCCCGTTGGGACCAATTCAGTCCCACAATGCTGGGACTGCTCAGGGTATGGGATGCAGCAAGAGCCAAACCTCAGATATCCTGCTAAGTCACCAAGCAGCTCTTGAGATGTCCCTATTTTTTTCTGAACTTACCCGTCCTTGGGCCCCTTGTGATGTCTGGACCAGCCCCAAGAGAGCAAATAATGTTTTTATAGCTCATCAACTTGTCCTCTAGCAGTGTAACAATGCTTATGGCTGAGTCAACCAATCATGGTTCTGGGATTCAACTAGTCTGTCACTCAGCAGCCACTGGAGAGTGGTCTTGTAAAAGGGTGGTTCACTTTCTCACGCAATGGTAGAGGAACCTACCAGGTTGTGGTCCTTTTGCTTGCTCAAGCTGGAATCATGATACTGGGCCTCAGAACCACTCTAGGATAGGGAAACCCTCTCATACATTGAGATTGTGATGATTCAGAAGCTAAATCCGTATAACTCACTCCACCTGGATATTGATTTTTTCCCATTTGGGGAGGTTCAGCAATATATTCCACTTAAACTACTCAATATGATTGGGTTTATCCAATCTCCCAGCAATAGCAGTAGCACTTAGACTTATATACTGGTGCTTTACAGCCCTCTCTAAGCGGCTTACAGAGTCAGCATATTTGCCCCCAACAATTTTTGGATGCTCATTTTACCAACCTCGGAAGGATGGAAGGCTGAGTCAACCGTGAACCTGGTGAGATTTGAACTGCCAAATTGCAGGCAGCCAGCAGTCAGCAGAAGTAGCCTGCAGTACTGCATTCTAACCACTGCGCCACCGTGGCTCAGAGAAGGAGAGAGAAATATGAAAAAATCATGTTATCCAAACAGGAATATAGTTATAGTAGGTCTTTAACTGGCTTGATCAGTTGTGGGTACATAGCCGATGTGCACCCTTGGTGCAACCCCAGCCAAGATAAATAATTGCACAAAGACTAAAATAAGCATTGTTGAACTTTAAAAATGAGCCTGTTTGACTTGTACTAGATCGTAACTCATTTCCTTAATATATGAAATGCATCATTTGCATATCTTCCTAGTTAGTTATAGTTGTTATAGCTCAGTGGAAACACACGTGATTTGAAAGCAAACAACTATAGGTCCTCTCCCTTTGTGTTACCTGGAAAAAAAGCAGCACTGTAAAACTCTAGGGAGCCCTTGCTAGTCGGTGATGACTGTGGGACAGGGGTGTCAAACTTAAGGGGTGCTTCGATCTGGCCCATGGGGCTACCCTGGAAACAGCAAAGGACTGGCCTGGGGTGCCTCTGCCAGTGAAAATGAAGCTCAGGAGGGCCATGTGTGGCCCTCCCGAGCTCCGTTTTCACTGGCAGAAGGTTGCAGGAGATCATCGCAGCTGAAAAAGGAGATTGGGAGCCAGTTTTCACTGGTAGAGTGCTTGGGCCACCACAGGTGCCCCCGACATGAGTGACATCAAGCTGGCCATGCCCAGCCCAGCCCCCAAGGTCAAACACAACCCTGATGCAGCCCTCAATGAAATCGAGTTTGAGACTGCTGCTGTAGGAGATATATTGGAGCTAATTTCCCATAAAAAGAATGCTAAGAATATGAATAACAGACATCTAGCACAAAACAGGAAATGTAAAACCAACTCTTAGGATCAAGTCTTGAGTTTAAACTTAAGCTGGTATGATACCGCAGCTGTAGCTGTCCTAAGACTGTCAACGGTTTAAAATAGCTTCATTCTTAATGGACAATAACATTTTTATAGCTGTGTTACGCTAAGTTTTCAGAGAAGTTCAGACAAATTTGAAACAGTCAAGAGGAATCGGACATTGACAGTTCTGGGCTAGCTGAATCCATAGTCTGACTCAACTGATGGTTTCAATTGGCTATAATTGTGACTGGATTGGGGCAAGCATATATGTGAACCCATTTAGTTGGCTAGCTTATGGTTGGGTATGTTCTGCTAACTCAGCCAATGGAGTTAATTAGTTAGCAGG